TTTCTTTATTTGCCTTGCTTCTCTATTCTCCATCCCCTACCTCAATTGTATGTCTCTCCGTATTCCGCTCTCTTTCTCTCCCTACGCATTTCTCTTCCACCATTTTTCTCTTCAACACATTCTTTCCTCCGTCTTTCTCACCATCCATCCACATCTCCCCCCCCTCTCTCTCTCTCTCTCTCCCTCTCCCTTTTCTTCACGTTTAGATTTGCCATCCGTTTCTCCCTCTCTCTGTCCTATTCTTTCCCTACCTTCTTTCCCCCGAGTCCCTCCGTTTCCCTCGCTCGCTTCCTCCTCGCCGCCACGCGCCCTCAACGTGTGCGCATGCGCGTGCGCAGGGATGCGCTACATGGTGGTGGACTGCGGGGGCGGCACCGTCGACATCACCGTGCACGAGCTGAGCGAGCGCAGCGGCACGCTGCGCGAGCTGCACAAGGCCACGGGCGGGCCCTGGGGCTCCATGGGTGAGTGGCAGTCGGGCTGCTGCGGTGGGGCGTGGCCGAGGAAGGAGGCGTTGCCCTCTTTTCTCTGTGATGAAGAAACAACATACTTCCCCTTTAGCTTGAAACACCGGTGGATACGTTTTGTTTTGAGCTGGGGACAGTCAGGAACCTTTGGTGGAACAATTTGAGTTAAATGCGCCTTCTGAACCAGGTTTTATTTTTGATATTAATAACATTTTTGTTCACCTATTGTACGAGTATGTTGTATGATTTTAACTATGATTTAAATAATCAGGGTGGTTAGATTTTGCGGTGATAGAATGACAGATGTACGGGAAACTGGTAAGTCCATGAATTTCAATAGTACTTCATTTTTATATTTCATATCTTTACTTTTCCTTCCTCTACGATAATGTAGGGAGAAGAAGTATTGTTTACCTCGACGATACGATGTCGATTTTTTTGTTAATAATATCCGTGTTTAACGTTGTTTTGTATTCCTCACACATGACAGTATAAATGTCTATTATAGCGGTTCCATTTGGTGCAGGTGGCGAAGAGATGCAATTTTGAACCTGAAAATTTCTACGTCCGTACAGATGGAAGTACGTGACAGACTCCCGTGTATCATAACTCTCTTAGATTAGACGTTTTTGTTGGTAAACAAATCATGAGTAAAATCTAGTTTAACCATTTCGGAGACCATTAAACTAATTTTGTTTTGGAGGTACTTTACATAAAACCTATCTTTACATTTTTTGCTCGAACAGAATTTTTTTTTATAAACATGATATAGTTACTATTTTCATTAGAACCTCTAAAATGTTGAAGATTGCAAAAGGTCAAATATTTTTCCAACGTCTTCTACCTCTGCAATGTTAAAGCCAGGGATTTCTTTCTTAATACAATTTATTCCTCAATTTTAGATCTTTAAATGTTGTTAGGCATTGTTTTTAAAAATATGAGTAAGCCTAGTTGTTAAATTATAACACTAAGCGAAGGGGCAAATTTCCTTATGCCACTCATTTCCACAAGTTCAATTTAAGAATATTTTTTTAAAAATTGAAAATAAACATCTATATTTGCTCATAATTGAATGGGTGAACACCAGAACGGTGTAAGTGACATTTTATAAATTCAGGGAAATCTGTTTATTTAAGTCAATATTACTGTAAAGTCGTGGTGCTTTGTTTCATCATTAAAACCAAGACATTTCAATTGTTCATTAAAACACGAAAATTTATTGCCACTGCAGTATCGCCTAAAATAAACTCGTTTTTCGCATAATTTATAAAATGTCACTTATACCGTTCTGGTTTTCACCCATTCAATTCAGAGTAATATTGGTTTGTGGGAACCCATTCGTCTGGCGAGTGGGCTGCGCAACCTAGCTCGCGTTTGTGGGTGCGGCAGGGGTGGACGCAGAGTTCGAGCGCCTGCTGGGCGACGTCTTCGGGGAGGAGCTGGTGGCGCAGTTCAAGGCGAAGCGGCCGGCCTCGTACACGGAGCTGATGGTGAGCTGGGAGGCGCGCAAACGGAGCGCCAGCCCGCACCGCGACTCGCCGCTCAGCGTCTTCCCGCCCTTCTCCTTCATCGACTTCTTCCGCAAGACCAAGGGCAAGGAGGTGAGGCGCTCCACCGACCACCTCGAGGGGAGCTTTCTTTTTTTTTAATAATTTCTTCTTGCTCGGCAGTGCAGTCTTTAATAACACATAAAATGGCATTTTGGGGTTGGCTATCCATCAGGTTTAAGCGGTTTCTTCTCGGATTTAATTGATAATTAAATTTAATTGTTGAATAAAAAGAGGAGGCTACGCAGTTATGATAAAAAGAGCTGAGTCTTCTATGATTTACTGTGGTTTGAATCTATCTTGAGGAATTCTTGACTTTATACGTGGATAGACCGCCTTTTTCCTATGTTAAAAATAGTGGTACTTAGAGAGGTTGTTGTAAAAATAATTGGGCTATGGTTACTTCTAGTTTTGGTATTTTTACTTCACGATCAATTTATTAATTTGTAATGAACCAAGGGTCATTTAAGGTATTTTCTTAGAAATACATTTTGGATTACTTTAATCTTGTTGATATTGCTAGGAGCTGCACCTCCCCATATTGGACATCCAGGATGATTAAAGAGTTTAGATTGTAAAGAGTGATGTGCTGGTAAGACGTTGCGTACATGTGTAAGGTTCTCACAATACGACGTAGTATTCATGTAGAAATCGGGTTACCTGCCTGTGTCCGTCCGTCAATTACTGATAGACTCCTTTCGGCCCACCGATTGGGGCAAGCGTCTTGGTCTGCTGGCGGAGAAGTGGTGTTTTTTGTGTATCTTTGTAATCTAATTAAAACCTTTAAATTAATAAATCTAAAAATACTTCAAATTGTTTAATAGATCGGAGACGCACTATGATTGTAGTTTTTAGGCCAATACATAAGCAACAAACGGGAATGAAGTTCTTAAACAGAAGCGATATCCGATATTAATTATCAGCCAAGTCTGTTATTTGTGACTGCTGATATTTTGATTGTTCTCAACGAACTTCAGGAGTTAAGAGTAGCTTATGACCTTAGCAGTACATGTATCCCAAATCACTAATCAATCAATCAATTAAGAGTGGCTTTTCATTTTCTCTGGTTTCGGTAAGTCGGTAGTCGAGTATTACAAAATATCTTTTTTGTGTATACAGTAGAGAGGAGATGTTTCTTTTCCAAGGTTACTTAGTTACTGTTTGACGTTGCTTCGCAATAAAATGTAAATCGTAATGACTAAAGAGCTTCATGCCCAAACAATCTGATCTAGACTGTTCCAAGGACTGAAGATAGCGTAAAGGGATTATGTTCCTCCCGCCAGACTTCATTGCCATATCCAATTTTTTTGCTGAGTGTTGTAACTGAGAATGGTAAATATTGTTTCTCAGAATTATAATCTGCTAAAAAGTAATTAGAAATGATCATTACATATTATCATGGTCGAACACGGTAAAATAGAAGTTGTACTTTCATTAAAGTTAGTGGTTTGAATGTCAATTTACGTTCACCTGAATACGTGTATCATTAACGTTCCTTGTTAATTGATTTACTTCCCATATATTCAAAACGTTAGGAACGACTTTCCAGAATTAAAGGATTAGTGGAGAAATATATACCGGATGTTTCTGTAACTATGTAGCTTCCTCCAAAACGTATAAATGGTTCGCAATATTGAAATCCAGTTGTCTCTCAACATTGTGGATTTACGGGGCAAGTAATAAGCAATAGAGACATTGTTTGTAAAATGTTTATTTTTCTAGGCAATTATCTTTGATTTTTAAAATAGAACCCTTTTTTCCGCTGGCAATGGACATATTGTAAAAAGAGGAATACAGTTATGTATAATGTGTTAATGTTTTGAGTAATCACTTAACCTTTTTGATATATGATTTGAAATTCAACGGACAATATTTGCTTTAGTAACCCTTGCAACTGTTGGCTTTGGGAAAGAAGGACTTTGCTGTGCCGAGATTGTCACGGGGAAAAGGGAGATAGAGAGCAACTACAGCAACCCGTGGTCTTGACACCAAGTACACAAGTACAAATGTCAATATTAACGATTAGCAGAGAGATTTGTTTCACTTGTAGAAATTCCATGATTCCGCATTCTTAAGCGCAAAGTGCATTTCAATATCGTAAACTTCTAAGCTATGGGGGTGGCCCGTAGTTGGTAGGACATCTGGTATATGTCACATATAATGTTTTTGAGACGTTTTCTTTCCTAGATCGAGCAAGCAGTCCGGAAATATGGCCGAAAGGAAGTGACGTGGTCATCGCAGGGTGCATTGCGGCTGCAACCGAGTGTCATGCGGGAACTCTTCCAACCCACCATTCACAAGATTCTGAGGGTGAGCGAACTGCAGCGCACTCTTCTCCACAGTGCTTATTAATAGTAAATTATGTGTATTACGGTAATCTTGACTTTGATAAAACTGGCATTTTCTTTGCTCACCTCCCTCATTGCTGATTTTATTAATGAGATGTCCAATTTTTGAGAGACTTAACTATAACCCATACTAACAAACACTTGAAATACTTTAAAGTTCTTTTTGAAGTATTTATTTTAGAGAAACAACATTATGGGTAATCGGTAAACGGCATGTACTACTTTTGGAAAGCAATTGATATTTTTTCACGGAAAACATTCATTTTTAAATAAATTAGTTGATATTATACTATCAATAAGCGGCCCGCAGCAGCAAATTTGCTACTGCACAAAACCAACAGAAAATAGTTTTCCAAAACGTAGCGCACGCACTACTCAAGTACAACAAATGAAACTTGAATATTCCTCACAAATTCTGTAATAACATTAGTATATAAATCAAGGACCCACAAAACATGTATTCTGGGTATACCACGTGTTAGAGGACTTTTATTCCTAAATTTACCAAGTGGATTTATCCACTTCTTCCTTACCAGGACCCAGCAATAAGAGCTTTTCTGCCGAAAATTCGCTGTTTTTCCGCGCGGCATTATATAACTTTCTCTGTACAGCGTACGTGGTAGCCAGAAAGTTATACAGTTCATCAATTCGTTACTTACCAAGAATATAAAAAAATGACTATTCCTTTTCGCAACACGTGCATAGTAAAATTTAAGGGCGGGTAGATTTCTTCAAGCCTTGCTATCACATGACGTGATCTAAGTGGTATGAATGAGTGGTATGAATTGACGAATTGAGTATGAGAAGTCAGTCGATACGCTTTGTTAGAGAATAACACTTTAATATTTCCTTTTTTCAGTCACAACCGAAACTGTTTCACTGTTTTTATATTTTCACGGGTTCCTGGATGTCTAATAAAACTATAGACACCTCTCACATGGCCGGAGACTGCATGGTTTTCTTTCAATTTCTGCTCGCTTTGTAAACCAATAATATAGTAGCTAAAGTGCAGCTCGAATTTGGATAGCACTTCTTTATTTAAAAATGTGAGAAATCAAATGGTCCAAGCAATTAAAACTATAAGAATCACTTCTAAACAATGGCATTGTTTCCTAATTGCTCAGGAAGCCTATTATCAGTTTTCTAAAACGGTCTCCTACGGCCTGTTACCCAACCAGTTACCTTAATGAGAGGAAGAATTGATAAAAAACTTTAAAGACTTGTAAAACCAACGAAAAAGTGATTGTTTTTTTCAAATGTTCGAACATTTCGTTAATAAGACAGATAAATAAAACATTTCGTAACAAGTCGTGGAGAAAGAAATGGACGCGTCATTTTTATCCATTATCCATTAATATGCAGTATATAAGTGACCACAACATTTGCTAGATATATTTTCGAAACGATAGGTAGGTTTAGTTTATAATGATTGGATTCATGTCATAGTAATTATATATTAACATTTATTTTAAAAATGTTTAAAATATATTTAAGTAACTTCGTTTTAGATTATACTTTTGTGTACTATTTGAATAACATTTCTTGCACATCTTCCAAGACCTTGAAAATTATAATTACTTAGGAAAGTTGGTCACTTCTTCTGAGTTTCTTGAAAAGGTCAGCGTTTATTTGAAAATGTAATAAAAAGCAGCTTTCTTTGTTATTCAAGTTCATATAACATGCTATATACGTTCACTGACATTACCTTGGTTTTGAAACTTCGACTTTCTGGTGGTCTACCCCACGATAAACATTGCGAGACATAAGTAAAAATATGAATTTCACATTTTTTAAAAAAAGTGTCGTAATTGAGGTTGCGAAAGTCCCGTAGGAAATACCAGTATCGTTTGAAAAATGGGGAATATTGCTTTATTTTGTGAATACCTAGGAGACATTGATTAATTACCCCAGAAATATGGATTCAAAGTCTTTTCTTATATTGATCCAAGAAAACAGTAGGGTAACGTTGACCTTTCCTGAACGACCTCCCTCGTTCGAAGTGAACATTTGGAACGGTGCGTAACCTTACGTCAAACGTTAATCTTTGTTAATGCCATAACTAGAATTTCCTTTCTGTGCGAGCACTACAAATGGACTTTATGCTTGTAAGGATATTCAAGACTAAAGCTATGGAGACCTTTCTATGTGCCAATTCCACGAAAACCGGCTACACTTTTTTTACGCGTTCTCTTTTTCACAGAAATTTGAAGCACTTTAACTCGCAAATGCAATGGTGTTTACAAATCGCTGGAAATGTGCTTATTCACAGCGTGAGATATTTTTCTCAAAAAATAAATTTGTGTAATTTTTGAGAAAAAAATACTTTAATGATTGTTTTGTCATATTAAATTGTTCCATTGGAAAAGTTCCGTTAGAAGAGTTCGAAGAAAACATTTGGAGACATTATTTAGAAAATTGCGTTTTCGAAATTGCAGAAATTTGGGTTCTTTTTCACAGAAAACTGTTAACTTTTCGAGAAAATTTATGTAATATCCGTAAAGGAAAAAATCTCATAAATGCAATCATTTAAACTAATTTCCTTTAATATAAACAGTAATGACATAATGACATAATTTTTTAAGAAACAAAAGAATAGAGCAATATGATGTTTATGTCACCATATGTAATACATTTAGCGCTATCCCTACTAAAAGTTTAAATAAACAATTTGGAGCCGTTTTCGAGAAAATATTGTTTTGTTATTTTTTGATTTTGCACATATTTGTCGCAATATTGCGCGAAAACGACTAAACTTTTTAAAAGAGTGTACATGACCTGAATGAAATAACTAAATATGGAGAAATAATTTTACTTAAAGGAAAAATCAGTTTTCTAATTGTAGGTTTTTCAAAATCGCAGATCTCCGACTTAGGCCAGAGCAAGAGATATTCAGTTTGGAAAAAATCGTATACATAGTTTAAGCGTTAGCCGCTAGTGTTGTTCACATACACCAGTCAGATGGACGTTTTGAAAAAAACACTTCTTAAGTTTCCGGGGACTTCAAAACGATTTTCCGTTGAAATCTTGAAATCGATTTTCCGCAATATTACATAACTTTCTCTATACCAAGTATATTTCTCCGTTTGTATACGAGAAAATAAAAAGCTACGAAATTCTCGTTGTTTGAAATACGGGCTAGAATGAAAACGTATACGAGAAAGTAAAAATTTCGGAGGAAACACATATCATAATTTAGTTAATAGATCAAGGCAATAAAGGTAATTTTAAATAAATATTCGTTTCACTCCGTGAACATTGAACTCCATTTCATCGTACAATCTCTATGACTGATTGAACTTTTGTGTTTTAAGAAATTGAGATTTATCCACATAGAAGGGGGACTGCAAATATTATTGATTTCCTGTGTGTTTTAATCCAACTCTGAGAACATTTCTTACTGTTTCAGTACATTCAGGATGTTCTCGACAGCCCGCGAGTACACGGCATCCAGTACTTGTTCCTAGTCGGAGGTTTTGCAGAATCGCAGTTATTGCAACACGAAGTGCGAACAGCCTTTAGCACTCGAGTAAGGGTAGTGATCCCACAGGTAAGGCGCTGAGTTTTCTTTTACTTCAGCAAACATTTACAGAAATAAGAACAAAAAAGAGAAATATGTTGTATGTTCTAATCATGGATGTTCTTTTAGTTACACTTTTATAACTTCTACATTCTTGTTTTAGACTTTGTAGTTCTAGAAAGGTTTAGTTTCTAACGGACTTAAATGAGCGCTCAACCGAACAGCGTATTTTGGAAAGGGGCTCAAGAAGTGGAATAAGTTCTCTATTTTATAAATCACGAAACTTCTCAAAAATAAACGCAGCATCTGTATAGAATACGTGAATACAAAGCAATTATTGAATTGTGATTAATATTGAATTCAAATGGTACTTAAATTATGTAACTAATTAGTGTTATGTATATAATTAATTTAATAAAACATAATTATTTAAATATAGACAATTTTACAATAACGAACACACAAAACACAAGATCAATATTTGTATTTACTTCTTCAGTGAATAATTATCAAAATCAGTGAAGAAAATTTACATAGTTATTTACAATAGTAAGAGCATATCGGGTAATTCAGTGAGTTCTGTAGCAGGGCAGTGGCAAAATTCGTTCCTCACTAAGTAGCTATTACTTAGTTTATAAGGCGTTAATCTCAATATTCATATATTTATTAATACTTGTTGTTCAAATACTTAGAAAATAGTACCAAATAAACAAATTGTTTACTGACAATAGTATTATATCGTAGAGAGTAGAGTAAAATAAAATGCGAGTTAAAGCGCACAGTACGCCTGCTATTCAGAATGTCCCTTAATACCCACAAATTGAGAGTACCACAGTAATCGGAAGGCCCACAAACACGATGACACACAATATTACACATTTCGATGGTTTCAGAGTTATGCAATATTTTAAATTGCACACCTTATAATATTCCGCGCGAACTCGCGTATGGTTTGCGAAAAAAACTCACTATACGATGTCTGCCATTTGAGAACTCTGTAATTACAAATATCATTTGTTTTGCGGTAAGGAACGTGGATAATTTTTCTTATGACAACTGCTGTACCGGAAAACGGCAGCACTCGACGGGTGATAAGCCCGAACTTCGCGGCGGAGTGGAAGGCATCGATAAGGAAGTTTGAAGGCCGTGAAATGACTCAACTCAGGGTATACCACAATCATCTTTATTGCTGCCGCAGATAAAATTTGTAGAGAATATACTCAAAATATCCCTGGCATACACTACGTGATCAAAAGTATCCGGTCACGTCCAAAATGGTGTTATTGTGTGGGCATGTTTTTCATGGCGGAGGCTTGACACTTTTTTGTTTTGTGTGGCACTATCACGGCACAGGCCTACGTTGACGTTTTAAACACCTTCTAGCTTCGTACTGTTGAAGAGCAATTCGGGGATGGCGATTGCATCGTTCAACCTGATCGTGCACCTGTTCATACTGCACGGTCTGTTGCGGAGTGGTTACACGTCAATAACATCCCTGGTATGGACAAGCCCTGGAGAGTCCTGACTTAAATCCTATTGAAAACGTTTGGGATATTTTGGGACGCCGACTTCGTGCCAGGCCTCACCGGCCTACAGCGATACCTCTCCTCAGTGCAGAACTCCATGAAGAATGGGCTACCATTACCCAAGAAACCTTCCAGCACCTGATTGAAATTATGCCTGCGAGAGTGGACGCCGTCATCAAGGCTAAGGGTGGGCCAACACCCTATTAAATTCCAGCATTACCAATGGAGGGCGCCACGAACTTGTAAGTGATTTTCAGCCACGTGTCCGGGTACTTTTGATCACATAGTGTAACAAGGCACGCGAGGACAGACACTAAGTTTTCGGCAGCCAGGATGACTACGGCCACTTGTCGGGCCGTATAACTCCCATATAACGTGGTGGAGACCATTACAGTGGCGCGCTCTAGAGCATCGCCTTCTTACACGAACTAAAATGTGAACTGCTATCAACGTTATTTAAAACGCGTGTGGGTTCTCGGGACGCAAACACACGCGCTTGATACAAAAGATCGTGCCTCTTTTCGCGCTACCTTTTCCTTTATGCGTGTATTATTATGAATAAATGAATTTTAGAAGATAAAAACATAGTATTTAACTTCTTTTGTAATTTATTTCAGAAATCGCTCATAATCAAAATGTATTCCTATTTCTTGACCAATTTTTATGGGCGAAAGTTGGCGAGCCTTACCAGCAGCTGTATCCGGCGACACTAGCGCAT